GACCAGAACTGTCTTAACTAATTTGTCTCAGCACCTTTTTTTCCTCTTCAACTTTCTGTGAAGGAAGAGGATTGGAGGAAAGACACAGGTCAAGAAGGCCAAGCAGGGGAAGATGAACACAACCAGTGCCCATTATAGGGAGAAGACACCTCTGGACTGGAAGAGCCAGCACTTCTCAGAGGTGTCTGAGGTGACTAGAATTCCTGGGGAGCCACTAAACAAAGTAAAAGCTTTAAAAATGCCACACCAGATGTCCCACTCATTGTCTGACAGCCTGAAACCCTCAGATCTTCCACTTGGTTCAGTGCTCCAGGAAGACATTCTCCTGTCACATGAACCTGACAGAAGCTCCATCCCTCCCAAATAAAAAACACCTTATGACACAGTAGGAAGAATCTAGTGACACCCTGTTTATCAAAATCACTGTCATGTTGTTGTACATTGACTGCTGGATGATGGCGACAATGTGTGGGAGGAATATTTGGTACACACACACCCAACAACTCAGCACTGCTGCCCACAGCTGTATAGATGGGAATTCTTTGGGGACCCAAAAGTCTGAGCCCTGAGACTATCCAGGTACACACAGCAGACCCAGAGGAACTGAGAAGTGTCCATGACTGTGACTGAAGATGGCAGTAAAGGCTAGATGCCACCAAAGGGACCACAGTCGACTGAAAAAACGTGCCCCACGTATATTGGGAGTCTTTTGGGAACATAAGCAGGCTGGAGCCTTGGATGCAGGCTGCTCTTAGGGAACTTGAAATGAGGTGTCAAGCTACTGTGGCTCTAAGAAACACCACCAGTTTATAACTCCCTGTCCCTGAGATGAGAAGGAACTGATTCTTAGTCCCTATATTTTGTGGTCAGAAGACTTGCTGCTTTCTGCCAGTGCAGGTTCTCTCTGGAAAGGAAAGAAAAGCTGGGTTTGGAAAACAGCAGTTTACATAGGGTGGGACTTGTACAGCTCTCTCCAGGGAGATGGGAGCTCTTCTTTCTAGAGCAGAGAAGGAAGAAAGGAATATAGGCTGAGTCTGTTAGAGCAAGTTGCATGTGGACAACTCAATGGATGAAAATAGGTGTTTTCTATCCCTGGTTATTCTGCCTCCTTCCATGATCCTAAGGGAATTCACAGCTGAGGAACAAACAGGAAACGAAGCCAAAAATCCAGAGACCAGAACCTAATCCATATATATTATCTACAAAGCTGAAACAACTCACTTTTGCAGCTCTAGAAACACCTGACAACTTTATAGGAGGAGAAGGGGCCCAGGATAGTGGCTTTATGGCTTCAATGGCCAAATACAGAAGATAGTGCAATGTCCCCGTTTGAGAAATACAAGCTGTGAGACTACACCACAGCCAAATATGACAGGACTTAGGTCACCACCCACATTGGCCTCTGTGGACTCAGAAGGCAGAAAAGCCACATTGTGAGTAAACATTCAGCTTGTCCAGAGAAAGAGAGTAACCACAGGTGGAAACTGCAGCTCAGAAATGCATCCTCATTAGACCTGGCATTAGAAATCCCATGGCTGTACCCTGGGCTGCCCCTGCTCAGTGTGTTTCTTTTCCACTACCACTACAGAGTGGCTCCTGGGTTTGGTCAAAGGTGGCAAATGCTCCTTGGTATTTTCTGTGGGAAGAAAAGTCTTGGAGCTTTAAACAGGAAAGGTTGAGTACAGCTTCAAACTTGGGAATTAACGATGGATTGGCATTTCGAGCAGCTGTAAACTAAGAAAGTCATACACTCTTTTTTTTTGATGGCAGCAGATGGAAGCCTGCATATCTGAACATGGAGTTGAGGACAGCAGAGATGCCTGCTGTCTTGGTGCTCCTTTCTGGCCTTATGGCCAAAGTCTTATCAGATTGAAAACTTACAGGGGTTGTATTTCTCACTCAAACAGAACAAGAATGGGCATGTCGGTCTGGAAAAGGGATTAACACCTACCACATGGTGCAAGGCGCAATGCCAGAAGGCTTAACTGAGGAAGCCATAAAAGCAAAAAAAGAAGAAAGAAAGAGATACAGTTAAATTATAATAATGAAGATTGGTGCTAACCAAGAACAGCTGTGATGCAGTGCAGATTGCAGTGAAGGAAGTTCTAATATAAACCAGCATCCACAGGGAACAGAGGCGTTTGACAGTATGTGTTGCTCACTTATACCACATGAGGTGAGTACTAGTAACACACCCGGTAGGTCTAAAAGTCTCTGGTTCAACTCTTAGTTGGTAGCCCCAGTGGCAAATACACATAAGGATATGACTCAAAGGATAAATCCATTTTCCAGTGGCAACTGGATCACTGCTATTGCTATCTCAGTACTGCATGCAATAATTGTATTTAATCACAATAACATTTTTTATTTGTAGCCCTACAAGAAAAAAAATCATGTTTCATCAAGCATTTGCAATTAATGATGAATTATGTAATACAAATCTATTACCTTCTACATCAGGGTCTCCAAAGGGATTTAATTCTGCTGTGTCAGGATCACCAAAAGGGTTCGTACTAGAGTTGGCCAGGTCTTGCTCCTCTTCATCCAGAAAATTAAGCTTATTTATAAGCTCTAGAAACAAGTTGGAATATTGTTTTAATATAGATACAAACTCTTCACTAACATATTTCAAGCTCAAAAAAAACCCGTATCAACAGTCCCTCGAAACACTGCACCAGGGTACGGCACAAACTGCACAACTAATTCACTTCAATAGTACACCAACAAAGGAGGAAAAAAAAAAACCCTGAAATGAATGAAACTTCTCTTCGCTGATCAGAACATTACGTAACAGAAATGACTACTAAGAAAGCCTTCTATTATCTTCATTAAATAAATGTTGCAGAACATCTAACAAGCTAAATACAGCAATTTCTTTTCGGTTGTTCACATACATGTTAACTACCAGCAGGAAATTTTAAGTTTTGGATGTAACATGCATGTAAAATCAGAGAGGGGACATTTTGTCAAGTTAGAGAGGTGAAGTATTATTGACTGCACAATTGATGTTTTAGGCTTGGGGTCTGGGGGTTTTTTTGTAATTTTTTTTTCTTTCTTGTTCATTATCAGATGACAACGGAGCTGTAGAGGACATAGGCTCTTTCCACTGTTGGATGCACTACAAATTACTGAGAGTCATGCTGGGTGGAAGCACAGAGATAAAACTGACAGCTGAATACAAGCAGGAGTCAAAAGGTAACAGGTCACAGTAAATACAGACAATCAGAAACAGAAAGAAAGGAGGAAAGCTCATAGACCTTCAGAGGAACTGGCTGATTTAGCTGAAGGCATATTTGCTCGCTTTATGCAGTCATCTTGATCTTCATCTAAGCTGCTCAGAGCATTCAACTGGTTTACAATTTCTGTAAATAGAAGCCAGTCAAGACAAACGTAAGGCAAGGGCATTTAATGAAACAGAAGTGGAACAAACATTGTTACTAGCAAGAGAGAGAGAGAATAAGGGAGAGAGGGTAAAAGAGAAGACACTTAGAGTTAATTAAAAGAATACACTTAGAACGAGTCCTTACAATGATATACCTACAGCAAAGCAACTGTATAGGTGTTTCAGTGATAACTTAACAAGAAATCCAGTTAACAGACATAAAACCTTGCCAGATTCCTGGTGTCAGCAACAGTAATTAGTTTTATGAGGATGAGTACGCACATCAGTTCAAAACTTAGATGTACTAGGTATAATTTAAAGACTTCTCCTGCTCGTGAAGAAAACCTGAATTGTAAACCATTGTCAATCCACACAAAACATCCCCAGAACAATTTACCTTCTTCCCAAACCCTCAAAGCTACAGAAAACTAATACATACACACACATTTAATGTAGTTTATTTATTTATACACAGTCTGATTAGCTAACATTTACAATCAGTCACCATTAAATTCTGACCTATGACGAGTTGAATTTATCTAATAGTTCTAAAAGATATTGTAAGTATTGTGCTATGAGAATGCATACTGAACGTATATATTGGTCGAATTTGCCACTGTAATGCTATGCAAGTAACACCTTACTGTTTGGTAAAATCCTATTTCACCTTCTATCCATAGTGGAGAGCTCTGAATTGCCATGAACTAATAATTTTTAAAATGTATTAATGTTTAATTCTAGCCAAGACATTGATGCCTCCATAATTCTGGAAGGAAAGAAAGAAGCAAAAACCAACCAGGTCTTAGTGGCTTCTGCCCCAAGGGGAAAAATTCCTCTCTGATCCCCCGCTAAAGCAGTCCTATCCACAGCATCTGACAAATGCAGTTTCTGTAGTAATGGGGATTGAGCCTGGGGCATCTCTGAAAGACCTCAAACATAGGTTTCAGTGGAGATGGGACAGCCTTCCTCGTCCTTCCAGTGACAAACAGGCAGGAGAAACCTGTGCAGGAGAGATGATCCTGCTTGTTGAATATTATTGCCCCTCTGACAGGTTTTTTCATCTCCTGTCTTTTCCCAATGAAATAAATGGATGATGTCTTCTGGTGTCACCAGTTAAAGCTACATAGATGCCTTTACTGCACGCTTCTCATGGCAATCATTCTTGGATTTCCTTTAAATGTCAATTTTTTGTGTACACAAGTCGTCACTTCTTTGTAACGCTTCTAGTTCGCTGCTGTTTTGAACTTGACTTTTTATCCTATGGCTTTTGTCTGGGAAAGCAAACATTTGTCACTGACTCTCATACAGTAATCTTCATTCTATGAACTAGTTACAAGGAGCAAGATATCAGACTGAGGTGAAAATTGAATAGTATTGTGTCTGTCCCAATTTATGTTGGTGCCCACAGCCAGCCAGAACCTCCTAGCAGGGGGTACTCATGCTTTTTCACAGGGCAACACCTTCACCAGTTGACACACTGACATGACTCTTAATTTCATGCCTTCACAGACAGCATAAAGAACCTGAAGCCAAAAGCAGAGTCCAGAACCTGAAAATATTTCAGTCATATGGTTAAAAACTTCTTTTCCAAATTTAATCTGCTTTGCAAAGATATGCCAATCTGCAAATTGCCAAGTGAAATGATCTATTCTGCCAATACCTATTGGACAAAATCTATGCTGACAATGACAAAGCCACAGCAGAATTCCTCTTAACCGCACCTCCTAACTGTCCTTGACCTTAAAGCAAAAACCTGCTTAGATGGGATTACATTTATATCTATCTACACAGAGTTAATTTCACCATCTTCACTCCCTCATTTTTAGCTCCAACAAACAAGACTATAGTCCTAAAAAATAACCAAAACTGCCCCAAACCTCTTAACTTTCTCAGTATAAAATCATATATACACCTTAGAGATCTGAACAATATAATACTGCCTTCTGGGAATTTTTAAGACTCAAGATACACAATGGAAAATACCTTGCTGTACTCAAATAAAACAGAGTTGACCTTATAAAACACTAGTACAAACGAATTACTAGTTTAAAACAGGCTGAGATGCTGACATGATTTACAATTTATTATGCCAGCATGTGAAAAAAAACCAAAACAATTACAATTCCGTTTTTATTGTCAGAAAATAACAAATTAAGTTCAGAGCTTTAAAAAGAGGGAATTCTTTGATGTGGTCTGAATCACCTGGTCCCATCTGCCAACCTAAACACCCGTATGCACTACAATGTTTCTCATTACAATATTAAATGGTTTATGTCATATTTTGGAGTGTGGAAATGGTAGGTTGGAGATTTATGTCCTATATTATCTTTTATAAATCTCATTATCTACAAACGTATATTAGCTTGTTCTACAAGTATGTCACATAAATCATTGGGGTTTTTTTTTCCATTCTTCTCTCTTGCTCTTTTTGGTTTTTTTAAGCAGCTTAGTGCTACTGACAAAGAAGATTAAAGGTATCAGAAGTCTACATGGGAGGTATGGTTTTGCAAATGGCAAGAAGGAGTTACACATATTGCTGTCCAGAAGCCTGCTCTTGAAATATACTGGGATTCAGACTCCTGCAATAGGTAGCACATGGGCACGTTGCTGAGTCCATGTGGCGCCCCAGGACAGTCACCGTGCTCCTGTGCAGATGGAGCAGGAGGGAACTATCAACTTCAGCATGAGGCTTTAAGTATCAATTAAAACATTAAGAGAAGCAATGTATTTATTACTACCCTAAGTTTGTGAGTTATGAGCCACATTTCTTCAAGTTTGCTAGGATGCCTTGTCTTCAACTGAAGACTAAGGACGAGATAATTCTGGGAGGTTTGAATTAATCTATATTAATAGTGTAGAAGCAAAATATTGGAAATGTATTTCATGGCTACAAACATCATTTTCAAGTTCACATAAAACAGAACAGTTAAGTAGAGACACAGCTTTTGCACATGAAAAATTTAAACAAGAAATATTGGGAAGGAAGGGGAAAAGTCTGAGATGGTGCTTTGAATGGAAAACACCTTTCAGTCTGATCTTAAGGTCGGTTGTATGGCAACAGCTTGCATGTTGACCACACCAAATTCCACAGTGCTTTTGAGGTAGGTCAGTATTGCGCCACTTACTTCATAGCTGAAGAAAGCGAGGCACAGATACTTACCCAAAGTTAGGCAACACGTCAAGGAAGAGAAGCATTTCCTAACTCACCTGCACCATCTAGAGCCCCATTCAGCAGGTCTCTTTTGTTCTCCTCGTGGTGGATATATTTATTCATCTATAAAAACTGTAACTTTGGGCCCAATAAAAAAATTAATTAACTTTTGTTAATTTGTATGCTGCAAAAAGGAACAGCGTCTGTGATAAAGATTTGCAGCAGCTCCTGTAGCTGTGGCTTGAGAATGACATCATTTCAGTCATCAAATCATCCAACGTTTCTGTGAGACCTTGAGTAAGATAATAATCCCTTCTGCTTTACTACTTGCACTTTACTTTTCCAAAGCTCGCTTACAAACATTAACCATGTAATACTCCCATCATTCCTGTGAAGTAGTTATAGCCAGTATCCCCATTTTACAGTTGGGAAAACAGGCGCACCAAGGCGAAGTGATTTGCCGCAGGGGACTCTGAGTCAGTGAAGGCATTCCAGCTCGCTCAGCTGCCAACACCCTAACACAGCAACAGATGAGAAAATGTTGGGAGCAGCAAGGTTTCAAAAGGGTTATGTAACTTCCTCAATTAACTTTATGGGATTCTGTGAACACAATTTTTTTGAAAGAAATTTTAGAAAGAGTACTTCATTACATCAGTTTTGTTCCATTTCCTTCTTTCTATATTTCTTCCTATTTTTCTACAATGATTCCTACCTCTTTCTCCCTTGGTTCCTCAGTTCTTCTTCTTGTGTTTTATTAGTTTTCCCCATTCATTATATTTATTACAGTAGTCACTTCAACTGCCAATGAAATCAGTCTTGAACACATGTTGAAATAGACCCTTTACCTTTTATTTATTAATGTTTATTTACTGCCCTATGTTTTATGTTCTCCCATTTGCTTGGGAAACTACATACACTCATTCTCCTTCAACATCCCTCTCATCCCTCTCCTTGTCTAACGTGGGAAAAGTTAGCCAGGCTAACGATGCAACTCAGCTGTTGTAGCCAACACAAGAAGAAAAAGTCCAAGGCTGACCTTGCCCCCCTCAGGTTCCCTTAATGATTCATCTACAAAAAACCCAACCCAACCCTCCCATCTTATATCACTAGAAAACAGTATCAAAACAGGCTGAACAATGAGCAGATACAGTGTAGTTCAGAAGTATTTATTGCTTCTGCCTTTCAAATAGGTATTGTAATATTTGCTTAGAACAGATAATTTTGGCCTTTACAACAACAAATGGAAAAGCTGAAATGCCTCTAAAAGAACTCGAGCTAGGACCTTGTGTTGCACATCAGACAGCTCACCCTTCCCCATCTATCTCCAGGGATGTTCGCTACGTAGCCAAAGGATAGTGGACAGGCTAGAATAATCTACATCAGCTTTTTGCTTGTTCAGGAATCATTTGTGGGCTTGTTTAGATGCTGAATGCTGCAAAATCAATAAAGTTGAGGAGCAAGATCTGCTGCTTTTCAACTACTGTCCTGCACATGGGTTTTCCGTAGGAGTCCTCAGTGCAGTATCTAGGCATATCTTAATAAAACATGTCTGCACAATAGTTTATATAGATTTTACGTAGCCTCTCCTTTATCTTCTCCCTTGTGATTATCGGATGGCCTGGTGAATATGTCAGGTTTTGTTTGGTGTTCTAACATGCAGCTGAACTATTCTGCTTACACTTGTAAAGGAGAGTAAGACTTTGCAGAATGATTTCAGTGTGACCAGACTGGTATTTCTCCACCCCCTGACTAAGAATACATTACCTCTGTCTCTCAAATATTTCATTCTGGACTTTCCAATCTGCTCTGTGCCAGACACATACAGTATAAATAGAGATTTGGTCAGGGTACAAAATGTTTAATTGAATATGTAAAGCGTAGAGAAAACATATTTGCACCCTTTCACAACACTAAATATAACTAAGTAATAACTGCTTCAGGCTGAAACTTTCGATTGCAATGAAAGCTCGAAAAGAAGAGATGTAACTAATGTTTTGGAACACCGAACCAATGCTCCTCAGGATTTTCAAGAACAGATTTGACAATTTACTTCTCTGCTTGGGATGCTCTTCCCCACCTTAGAGAAGGTTCAACAGACATTTTTAAAGAGCACTGGCAGGCTTGAAGGCTGGCACCAGAAGTTCATTTGTCTTTTCCTGATTCTTTTACACTAAGAGTTCCTACAGAACTCATCTGGAGCAGTACTACATAATGATGTCCACCAACAATTTAACATCATCACATCCTCAGCTGACTTGCATCGATTAGTTCAGCTATCCTGGACACACTAAGCATTTTCATCAGTAAGCAATTCAAATGTAGTTATACTGTCTCAATTCAAACAACCTTACTAAAATTCTGTTAAAGTCCTTTAACAGACTCCTGATTTCATTTCCACGAGACATTCCCCAACCAAAAGGCAGAAGTATGCTGCCTAGAATTACCATGTCATTGAGCAGAACCTTAGCATGGCACAACTCATTTTGCAGTTATTCTCACAAACTGTCTTCATTATTTCACTTCAGCTCATCCTCTTGTCTTCTTGCTCACTGACCCTTTCCCTCCATCTTTTTACTCCTCTGTTCACACTGGTTCTTTGCTTCCCTAAAATGCTACCTACTTAGTGTATTCTCTCCTGCAAACAAGACACACACACACACAAATCAGTGCTCATAAATTCACAAATATTGAACTTTGTTGAGTTATAGATGGGTCCCTCTTAATCAAACTATCCTAAATCTTGTTTTAGTTTGGATTGTTTAAAATTAAATACAAATATAGCAGAAGGATAAAACCCACGGAACACAACTGGCAATTAGCAAAGGGAACTATATTTTACCATCCGTGTGGCAAAACCAACCTGTAATTTTTGCAGCCTTTTCCTCTTGATTCACTCTGTTTTCTTCATCTTCTTCATTGTCTTCCTCAAAATCATCTAGATTTCCAATATCAGCTTGTTTCATACTCATCAAACTAGCCAGGCTTTGCATGTCTTCATCCCTAAATAACAAATTTCAAACCAGGCATTAAAATGCAGACTGTTAATACTACACCTGATACTGCTGCGTTATTAAAAATCCTTTAAATATTTTTATGCTTTCTTTTTTTCAGGGAGGTCTCTGATCTCAGATCTGATCTTGAATATAGTGAAAGAACAAAATTAATACACTCATATATATTAATTTCTGAAGGGAAAGTTTTGTATTAACAGGATTCGAAAGGGTAAAAACAATCCTGCCGTGCAGAGTCAATTTAACGACTGCTTCTCAAAATTTTAAACCAGCCCAGAAATCGTAGTAAACACTTATCTGATCTCCTTTGGTTGAAGTGAAAATGCTTGGTCAGACCTACTGTCTATATGCTGCATGTGGCACCTCTTACTATATTCATTCAGAACTCCTGACACTGTTACAGAAATTAAAATCCCTTTTCTAAATATTTGAATTCATTAACAAGATAAAAAAACATTACATATCAATGGCCAATTTCAATTCTTACTTGACTGTATCTTTTTAATATATATCTCTCTCTCTATCTTTCATATAACTGTACCTTTCATATCAAATATATGTTCGATGAAAAGATGACAGCAGGCAAAGACTCAGAGAAATGGATGTTCTACATTTGTTTCATAAAAAACCCAAGATTTTTGAAGTACATGATGTCATCCTTGAAGCAACAGCAGTCTTACCTCTTCTCTTTTAAAACCATTTCAATAGGTTTATTGAGATGATTAATCCAATTTTTTTTTAGTTCCTGGGGATGGCCTGGCTAGAGAGCACCTCTGCTGAAAACGGTCTGGCAATCTTGGTGGAGAGCAAGCCCAAGGAGAGCCGGCACCATGCCCTGGCAGCCAAAGGAGGCAAACAGCATCCTGAGATGCATTAAAACAGGACCACAAGCAGTAGTCTGAGGGAAGTCATGACCCCCATTTACTTGAAGTTCATTGGACTGCATCTAAGGTACTTCATCCAGTGTTGGGTCTCACAGTACAGGAAAAGGTGTTGATAAACTGGAGCAACATCAGCAGCGGGCCATTGAGATGGTTGGGGGCTGGAACGCTTGCCCTACGAAGAAAGGCTGAGGGAAATGGACTCGTTGAGCCTGGAGAAGAGATGGCTTCGGGAGGACCTAGCAGCAGCCTGCCAGCACCTATGAGGACGTTGCTGAGAAGACAGTGGTACAAGGCAGGAGGATGACAGACAGCGAACATAGACTGAAACCAGAGAGGTTCTGCTTTGATGTGAGAAAAAAGTTGGAACAGTCATCAACAAGTGGTGGGATGGGTTGCCCAGAGAGGTTGTGCACTCTCCATTCTTGGGGGTTTTCAAGCCCCAGTGGGATAAAGCCCAGAGCAAACTGGTCTGATCACACAGCTGACTGCCTTAAGCAGGAGGCTGGACTAGCTACCTCTATGGGTCCCTTCCACCCTGAATTATTCTATCTTCTTTGAAGTTGATCATGATAAAATCAGAAGCACGGATTTTGTGCCTAACAATGCCAAGAAAACTATACAAATTATTTTAAAGGTACCACTTATAGGAATAAAAATGACATACTAATCATGCCTCAAATCTGCACAGAAACACAGAGGCACTTAAAACATGGGATTAAACTCAGTGATCTAACATATTGTTAAAATCAGAAGTTGTTTGGGGCAATCATTTGCTAGTCTGTGTTTAAAGTAATCAGCACCACAGAACCTGCAGTTACATAGGACAACTAAGTACCTCTATAATATAAAAAGTATTAATAATAATAAATATAAAATAAGTAACTACCAAGAAGTCAGAAAGACCTTTCTGTTCATGCAAAATTCTCAAGGTTTCATCTTCCTGTTTTGATAACCAATAGGTTAAATCAACTTTTTAAGCAACAGGGAAGAAAACGTAGTACCCTGTAACGGCATTGATGGGCAGGCTCTTTTATGCACCGAACACAAAAAGTTGGGAGCAGTTAGCACTCAGATCTTGTACGTCACTTGTTCATGTAAAGTTTAAAGGTTAAAAGGTCTCCAAATTACTATTTATTTTTACTGCCCTTTCTGTATTCATACTTTATAATATTTTTTTCTGTGTTTCAGAAATAAGATGATTTTTGGTACTGCACAGCAACAGGCTGCAGTATTTTCTTTATAAAGTGCATAAAATAAAATTAAAAGTGAATCTCATTTTATGGAACTACTACAGTTTGTAAGAGATGTAAATAAACCTTGGCCTAGATACCTTTTCTTGCATGTTCATGTATGTGATATCTGAAATCTCTCTTTTATTTTGACTAGTAGGACAGTCTCTATTTACACATACTGGAAACCAATGCTTTCACAAGCAGCAGCTTATTTCTTTTCAGGTCCCTGGTTCAGGGCAATATTAAAGCCCTGTTGTTAACTTACAGTCTACCCGACTCACAGTCTTCAGTCTGAAACCTATTGATTTCAACGGGAAGAAGGTATATGTGATCCTAAATGGATAAGCTTTTACAAATTATGGCCTCAAAAAGCACTAAGAGCCTAGTATAGTTATTTACTGTATAGTTCATGGATGCTGGTTGTTCCAAAAAAATTAAGTTATCAGATACTGACTTTTTCATTCCCATTTTCAGCTGCAATACCATGTTAAATCACAGCTAAATACTTCAAAATATCTTTCTTATATGGTAGGTCAAAATGTGGTTCACAGCAGGTTAATCAGAGAAGGTAAACAGTACTAGCAATTAATAGCAATTAATGCATCTGTGGCTTTCAAAGCATTTAGACAGAAAGCCTTTTTGTGTCAAAATGCATGCCTTAACATGGCAGTCTGGAAAGCTGTTCATGCAACAGTTTTGGGGCACTTGTGGGCAATGTCTACAAGTGCATTCAGAATACTGAAAGCTAGAAGTAAACTGTTAGCCTTTTGGGGGGAAAAAGAAATTTAAAAAGAGGTAAAAGAACCACTAGAGCAGTAGTTTCCCCATCTACCGCTTTTTGTTCTGCCATTTGTATCA